TTCTAATGGTTTAGGAAAATGGACAAAGTGATAAAAGGCAGTTCATAGAATCATAGAATCAATGGTTAGGGTTGGAAGGGACCTTAAAGACCATCTAGTTCCACCCCCCCTGCCATGGGCAGGTACCCCTTCCACTAGACCAGGTTGCTCAAAGCCTCATCCAGCCTGGTCTTGAAGACTTCCAGGGATGGGGCATCCACAGCTTCTCTGGGCAACCTGTTCCAGTGCCTCACCACCCTCTCTGTGAAGAATTTCTTCCTGATATCTAATCTAAACCTCCCTGATTTCATTTTCTACCCATTACCCCTTGTCCTATCACTACAGGCTCTTGTAAAAAGTCCTCTCCCAAGTTCAAGATCACTCTGTTTTCTGGCATTGCTTCCGAAACATCTCAGCTAAATTCCAACATTTTTCTATGCAAATTAAACAGCTATGAAGGCGTAACATACATCTTCCGCTTGTCCCTTGCGTAACCTCATGACTTAGCAGTGCTGACAGGTGTACAAAGCTGTACTAACAGTAAGACCAATGGATCGTAGTAATGGCTTCATGCAATGAAATTTCGTGTCGTGATGAGAACCGAGATTTTCTTACCACTACCAGAGGCCCAATCACGCAGGTCTAAGGCAGACTGCTGGATCACAATAGTACAAGTCATCTTTGTCTCTTTCTGCTACGGAAAAAAAGGGTAAATCTTTCATGCCACTCCTGAAACAAATCAAAGGTCAGCCTTTGAATGCTATCCAACCCCTTTTCTTTCTTACTATTACAAGGAAGTTGCTGTACTGCAAACTCCAGTAGTTCGTCAGTAATTCACTGCTCCGTGCATCAGCAGAAAGAACAAGGCATGTCAGCAGAGGATTCAACTGACTGACTCTACGTTTCCGCAGAGTGGGAACCCGTACTGCGTTCCAAAACAACTGCTGGCAACAGCGACCAGCTCAGCTGCGGATACACGTGTGTTCCTGGGAAGGTAGAAAGAAACGGGGCGCTGGTTTGTCAACAGAAAGGAAGGCAGTGTCAGCCAGTCCGCCAGAACAGCACATGTTGGTATCTGAACTGCAACTGACAACTTCAAGGGGCTTACAGAGCCTCTCCCAGACCTGGCGTTTCCCTCTTCCCTTCTAAAAAATTTGGTGGCCTCCATGTTTTCTGCAAAATAGATGACAACCTTTCTCCAACACGTGAGCGCTTCCTTCTCTATTTTGGTTCTTTTCCCCCTCCTCATTTACAAGTGGAGAACATTGCTCTTTCTTTACAAAGAATTATCCTTCAGCACCACAAAACAATCCCACCGGACAGTTTATGTTTGTAACGGATCTCTTCTAGCTGGCCACGTGGTGTGGTGTTCTCAGCGCTCTCAGACTCCCCGGCAAACAGCAGCCGTTCCCTACCGGTACAAGCCCTGCGAGTACAGGTACTGGAATATGTGGCCAACTCCCCAGAGGAAGGCAGGCAGCACTCAAGGAGTAATTTCATGAATGGTGGATGAAATCAGGAGGAAAGCTTGTATTTTCCCTCCGCTTTATTCTCACTTCTTGGGAAGGACGGGTAAGTGCCCCACGCTCTGCTTCTCACCTGCGAGGCTTCAAGTTGGGACCAGTGAAATAACCACGGAAAGAGGCCGACTCACCCTCTTTGGTTATCTTGTGTGCTCTGGTGAGTACGGCCAGAGCCAGCTCCTGGAAGGCTAAATTGAGGTAACACACCCCTACATTAACAAGTATGTGTACATTTCTCCCTCCAACCTAAGCAGGAAGAGAATTTCAGCACGCTTAGATATTGCATTCATCTCAGATCATATGTGTAGACTATCAGAGGTTGTGGAAAACATTAAAAAAGGTAAAAGAAAGGAAAAACATTCTCAACTACGGTCTGCATGTGTATGAGTTTGATTACAGCAGGGGTTTACACTGCTACTGTATCTGGAGAAAATAAAAATGCAAACATATGCAGAGAAGCTGATTTGGCCTTTATCTTCTTCAGTCTTAAGAAATATTAAGAGTTTAAAACTCCAATATTTTTACTGAAATAAATGTTATTCTCACCACAGAGCAATAATGATGACTCAGGATGTAAGCACATCTCCAAGTTAAGCACTTCACTGGGTATAAACTGTGATGCTTTGACCCTTTCATGGGTCAGAAACTGCTCTGTTGCTGAGCATACAGTTAATAATGTACTTTCCAGGGAAATGTTGAAATTTTACATTATAGAAATTTAATAATAAGACTTTGAGGAATAACGTAACATGGTCAGGAAATAAAACACCAATAGTAAGCAATCACAAAACCAGAGACTATTTTCTACTTGGTTCCACTATAAATATAAGAATGCAGCAGCTAATTGAATTGCAAAAAAAAAAAAAAAATTAATTGCAGTCCTTTTAGACTATTCAAATTCTGGTTTTTAAGCAGAAACTACTAGATATTCAGACCATATCTACAGTTTGTAACATGAAATCCTAAATGATATTCAGTTAACCAAGTTGTGGGAATCGTGCGTCCTACTTTGGCTTTCTCTCCAGAAACATCACTTTCTGATCTTTTGGAACTGGACCAGGGGTAAGCATGAATGAACTGAATGAAGTCTGCAACCTGATGGCTGCAAAGCCTTTATGCAGCTTTAAACCAGACTGCTGCCCAGGGCAGTCTGTACTCAGCAGGCAGGGAAAGGATGTTGGCATTAAGGGCGCGTGAGAAGGAAAACGGAGATAAAAATGGAAGCCTGCCAAATCCATAAAACACCGTGTCCAGAAAAATAACGAGCTGTAAAGAACATCCTCTCTTCTTCAGCAGCAGATGTTGCTGAACTGATTTAAAAAAAACCCAAAACATTGCTCTGTGGGTCATCGGGTGCAACCCAAACAAAACAAACGTTTAGTGGCCTTTTAGTTGAAGTGTGTGGTGACGCAGGGAAGCGGCACCTCTGCAAACCAGGGGAGAGCTGCAGAAAACAGCATCTTCTTTAAAAGAAACTACCTGGATACACTGAAGAAACCAGTTCCAACATTAATCAGACATCTATGCATAATTACCTCTTCCCTCAGTTACATGAATGGTATTTTGGAACCACATTATTAAAGTAACTGAAAACTGATTTTTCACACGGAAATAAAGAGTAAGGGAGAATGGCAACTGAGGCATCGTGACATGCTCAGATACATAAAGGTACAGCATTCACGTACAACATGAGAAGAGAAAACCACCTCTTATTCACAGTACAAATGCACATGCAGATTCACCAGTGAAAGCTGTATGGTGCCTATTCACGTTAAAAATAGGATGGCAGGAAGAAGTAAAATGAATTCAAAGAAACATTCCAGTCTTCTTCTGATCTTTTCTGTAACTCTGGTCTTTTCTAGTAAGTATGTAGATTTTAATAGTCTGAATCTTCCCATGAAACAGTCGGTAGTATGTGCATCTACAGTACTTCCTACTTTCACACTAATTCCACACTAATTCATCTGTTACCTATGGTTGTTGCTGAAGGCTGATCACAGTAGGATTGGACTGTGCCTTTTTAAGAGAGGAATAAAAGGAAATAAGCCACTGGATCTCCTGGACTAAGCCTAAGCCCCAGCATGTCTGCCTGTGCCAGTACAACTAGACTCTTAGAGATCAGAAACATTAAGAAAAAGTTTAACAAGCTCGGGAAAGAAACCGAGATGAAACTCTATTCCCCAGCTTCCTCCGGGGGCTGTACTGGTGTGCTTTCATCTCTGGAATCCAAGAATGTTATTTTGTGAGGCAAAGCTTTTCAACAGAATGCTTCAAAAATACGGGTTAAAAGAGGAAAGGGAGGGCTAAAGCATTCCTCTAGCAACCACAGGAGCTCTTCGATCATACCTCTTCATGCCATTAGCATCACACATTTTACCCAACCACCAATAGCTTACAAGCCACAGGGCAGGCACATGAGCTCTGCTGAGACTACCAGTTCAACGCGTAGTTTTGAAGAGCTGTTGCGGGATGTGCGACATGGGCTGAAGCAGGAAAATAAACAGCTGTGCAACGTAACACGTGTTCTTACCGTTTCTTTATTAGCTTAAAGGAACTTGAACCTAGTAACGATCTGCCTCTTGCAGTTCTGAGCAAAGGTACCGATGTACAGCCGCTTTGCATCAGCTTCCCGCGGGACACTGTTGAGAACAGTTACGTACAGCCCACAACTACATCTTTCACACTCAATACGGCATGTAAATTAACAAACTTCTTCAAACACGATGAGTAAGGGAAGGAAGGCATCTTGAGAATCTGCAGTATTCACAGGTTAACTCGTTTTCTATGTTTTCCTATCCATTTTTTTCCTTTTTGTATACAAGCCATCCCCAACACTGTCAATCGATGTTCTCACAGACCTCAAATGGTTACAGAAAGTCTCAGCTCAGGCTACAGAAATCAAATCATAACTGAGTAACTGTCTGACTAGCGTTCAACTTCTGTCCTTAATGAGATTTAATTAAGAATATATGCAGGGGAGAACACTCTGTTAATTTTTTTACTTGTTTGTGTCCTGCGAAAGTAAAAGGATACCATGCAGAAACTGAAACCTGCCTGGCATTCTCTTCTCTTGATTAAAATTCAGCACATTAAACAGGTTAGATCTGTGGCTACGTGACATAACAAACCCACGACATCTTCCAATTTCAGATCCACAGTGTCTTGCAAAGGTTCCTTTTGTACCAGCACTCGAATTCAGCACCTTCTGAGAGCTCAAACTTCTGTTTGGGAGAGGCAGTGGTGGACAGCTGCAAACGTGTGGTCAGCCGAAACTTCTGAACTCCGGAATTAAATCCAAGTAACGCTTCCAATTCGGTAGCAGCATATCCGACCAAGACTAAAGGGGTGCTGAAGTCGATAAAATTCTGGAGAATAATCTCCATGCACAGAACGGCCCCTGTGCATGATCTCACGCAACCCAGTGACATACGTGCACTGCAGTGGGCAGGATGGCGGGCTGAGCGAAGGAAGGGCGCATGCACAATGAGACTTGAGGCAGACAGGTCATTAGTCAAAAGGCATCTTATGTGGTAATTTTAATACGTAAGAAACTAACTTTTAAAGCCTTCTACTTCACATCTTAGGTAAGAGCTCTCACTTCTGTAAATATTAATCAGTGTCTCTGGAGTAAAACCCCTTATTATACGGAGTTGAAAGAAGCACGGGTCAGTTGAACTGCTCTTCTGGGCAATGCTCGAGGGAGTGTAGTCAAATTTCTGCTTCATTGAGCTTACAGATCTTCAGTTGAGCATGTTACTGCTTCACACTCTGTATTTTGCTTTGCCATGGTCGTTGATAACACATATGTGCTGAAAAAAATAGAAGACTGATCACAACAGTATAGTTGATGACATTACAAATTATGAATGAATCGTTCAGAAAGACTTTCACTTGACCAATCTAGTGATCCTGTAATGATCCTTTTCAGAGACCTGGAACGGAACCTGATTTCACTCTCCAGCTACAGCAGGTTTTTCCACCTGCAATTCCCAGCTTTGAGGTCTGGCCCTGGGAGTATCAGAGGAAGCAAAGGCAAGGCTTGCACCTTTTTTCCATCGTTATCCGAGGAAAGGGGCAGACAACATAGCAGGAAATGTGCAAAGTGTCTGAACTGTAGTGGTGTTTCACTTTCTACTGCTGTGTCTGCACGTGCTGGGAACGAGGGGCCTGTGAAGAAGCCCCAGGCTCCCAGAAGATGGACATGAGGCAGAGGTCGTGACTTCTGCTCTTAGGGGGAAGAGATGGGAAGAAACTGGTCTCAGTGCTGAGCTCCTTGGGATTACTTGAGGTTTTGTAGGGAGTTCTACACTCATTGAAAGGATCCCAACCATGGCATGAAGGACCCAGGAAGAAGGCAAATTACGGGGTCTTAAAGACAACCTGGAGAAGTAAACCAGTGGGTTTTAAAATGTGTTTTTAAAGAAACTTACGTTTAGATCTCTGAAGTGCTCATTGTAGTCTAAGGCATAACCTACCACAAATAAATCTGGAATTTCAAATCCATAATCTGTATTGAGACAAATAAAGAAGACCATCAATGTAAGACAGGTGGTTATCATGCAGCCATGAAATTCACGTGCCAGTTCACTCACAAGCAAACTATCGATACACACAGTCGGTTCAGGTTATGTTACTTTTGACTCTGAGACATCAGGGTCAGCAACAGCCCTATGGACAGTTCCTGCTCACAGACTACTTGTGACAGGCGTGGGAACAGTCAGTGGAGTGTAGGAGAGCTGTGTGTACAGCTGTCGCTGGCACAACAGCCGCACGGCAGAAGGAACCCGAAGTCACGGCTGAAAGATTCTGCCCACGTTTGGAAGCTCCGTTGGTACATGTGTGATGACAACTGCCCAGTATCACACTAATGATGACAAACAAGTATCATTTTAATTCAGGATGAACTTTCAGAGGTTTATATATTCTCTTCTCAGAGTAGCAAAAACTATGTTGCATATTATGCTACCAAAACATGTCAAATGCTGATTAAAGCCCCAACCTTACGAAGACTCATGAACATACTCAACTAAGTAAATGTTTGCACTGTAGCCGAATCATACAACTCGCATGCTTCAGGCTAAGCACAGGCACATATCTTTTTGAGAGTGAAGCTTTGTGCAGGGTCAGCACTTTAGAAACAAAGTTAGACTCTTTCCATATTGTTCACTAAGTAAGCAGAGAATAACGCAACATTATGGACACAAAAATAGGTCAGCATAAAAAATTTTTACAGGTATTCAAGTAAGGAATTTATTCCATTTTTAAAAATTGTGGCTAATAGACCCTTTGGAACCATAAATTCAGGTAAGTGAGGAAATGACAGCACTGTCAGTGACCTACAGGAGTGATCTCTGATGTTTTACAAAATTCATCACAGTATGAATAAAGAAGGATAAAACCTGTTTCATTTTACAAGGTATTACATAAAAATATTAAGCTACCCTTCATCAAGTAATTTTATTGCATTTTTTATATGTTTACCATTAGTGAATCCAGTCAAATATACACTTTAATTTACTGGATTAAATTCTACATGTTAAAAATACCACTGTATAAAAAGTTTTACAAGAAAATGTTTGGGTCACCATTCAGATTACTGGGCTAAAACCACAGGGCCAGGAGCAGTATCGAGTAGGTTTTGCTTAAGTTCCTTCTCTCCCACATTCCAAATCCAGACCCTTCATGCTGCCTCCTGGTACTCTCCTTCTAGCCCCCTTCCCAGCTCAGCTGACCAGAGCCACCTTCAGTAGCAAATGCAGGGCAATCTCTTCTTGATGGATCTATTACTTTCACATAACTGATATTACACCGTTTATTCCAGTAATTCTGAACTGGAGCTTGGTATAGCTCCGTTTACGGCTTCCTCATTGCACAGTACAGGTACCAATCATTCAGAGAGGAGAGGTGCTGGTGCAGCCCAAACAGAGCAGCAGGAGAAATTTTAAAAAGCTCAATTTATCTTTTGCTTTTGGGTGTGTGTGTATTTAATTAAAGTATCATTGTTTATCCTATAAACAATAATACTTTTTAAAAAACTAATAAAAATATGTTATTCTGTTATAAAAATATAAAACTTGTGAATAACTAGGTCACAATAAAAGACCTTTCATGTTCAGATGGAATCCTGCAGCTCCTCCAAAAAGATGCAGTGAGGAAGGAAAAGGAAGAAATGGACTTTCTTGTCCATATAGTTTGTCAGTGGCAGAAGATAAACCACTCACTTTCATGGATAAAATTAAACCCTTTCATAACTACCTTACAGAGTCAGTGCTCCGCAGAAAACATCCGGCTTTATGGAGGCTACGCTTTCCAACCACAATTCTACAAATCTGCCATTGCATCCCATAGTCCCATCGACAACTAATACTGTACAAGGCTTCTAGCAGTGCACAGAAGGGTATGCAAGGCAGGGGGTAGAACAACGGTAACCTCCTGTACTGTCGCGTACAGATACCCACAACACTTACAATCTGGTCGGTACCCATCAGGCCGAGATGTTCTTTTCACCAACAAACTGTAATTAAAACCAAAACCAAAGCCATGTAAGTCGAGATATTCACCTGAATACATGCATAAAAACTACTCCCTTTATCAAACAACTTCCAAGCCATGTGAATCACTATTCTCATTCTGCCTCTCCTCCCGACAATGTCCTGATGGGAGGGAAGAAATGGGCGTGTTCCCCTTCAAAGTCCATCGGTGCCAGCCTTGAAGTGGCCGAAGGCTCACTGCCACCGCAGCACAATATAAAATCTTTTCCTCTCCTTCCCTCCACCCTCCTCTTAATGACTCTGGCAGCTCCTCTGCAGAGCTCCCCATGCCATCCTGCAGCACCGAATTAAAGCAGGAGCTCGGAATGGGAACCTCCACTGGAAAATAAGTTGGGCTAGACTAATTAATTAATTACTTGGACTAGACTAATTAATTACTTAGTTTTGTGATCATTTTACTCACCTTGCCACTTTAATCATTTTTGGCTTGTATTTTTCTATATTATTAAGCAGAACCTTCATAGTCCTTCCAGTTCCAACAATATCCTTATAAAACATGAAAAACAGAGCAAGTAAAAAACAGAGAAAGGCTGAAAAGAGGAAATCCAGACAATGACTGAGGAATTCCACCTCTTATTTTATGGAAATGATGTATTTTTCCCAGTGTATTGTGAGCCACATCCAAAAAAGATTATAACTGAGCTCACACTCTTCGAGCAAGCACTTGCTACTCAAAAAATGATCAGTTAAAGGACTGCCCACATCTCTTGAAAACAGCTGTGGTTCTGGTACTTGGGATGTAAGACGGGACTGGAGATGAGTTTACTGCAAGGATGCAGGGATGAGACTTTCCATATTATGCTCAAGACTACAGTATGGCAACATGTCAGGGCTAAATCTGCCCTACTTGTTGTTTTATGAGTCCAGTACAAATGAATGTACAACCCCCCATGGCAGGGAGGTTGGAACTACATGATCTTTAGGGCCCCTTCCAACGCAAACCATTCTGTGATTCTATAATTCTATGAATATTCTCCAAAGCTGCTGTGCTCAACCTGACCTGAAGAAGATACCTGGCTACAAAGCCAACCATGACATGGAGAGCAGCTGTCCATCTGAGCTCTGTGGGTGTGGGTTTTTCATCCGCAACACCTTGTCTCTGCTCCTCAGACGTCTAACAGCATTAACGAAATTTGCTGCAGACGATTTAAGCTTCTGTTACAGCAGTCAGCATTAGCAAATACGGAGCTCCTAGCAGCCCTTCAGGTAACCAGCCACCCCTGTGGCTGATTTTTTTTCTCTTTCCCCCTCCTTTGCTAAGGAGAGGCATTCCCACATTTATACATCTCCTTCCCACACAAACAGACTAGGCCTGAAATGCCAGTCACATCCTGACGTGCTCTCTAGCCGTCCCAGTTGCTTTTCCATCATTTTAAGAGAACCATGTACGTTAATTAAAAGAGAAGCTGTAGCAGCAGTGAGGTGACACATTCTTTTCCTCTACAACTGAACACCTGATTTACATCAGCAACATTCAGGGCCTACAAGGAAGCTGGGAGGGGACTTTTTACAAGGGCCTGTAGTGACAGGACAAGGGGTAATGGGTTTAAATTGAAAAGTGGGGAAGTTTAGATTAGCTATCAGGAAGAAGTTCTTCACAGAGAAGGTGGTAAGGCACTGGAACAGGTGGCCCAGGGAAGCTGTGGACGCCCCATCCCTGGATGTCTTCAAGGGCAGGCGGGATGAGGCTTTGAGCAACCTGGTCTAGTGGAGGGTGTCCCTGCCCATGGCACGGGGGGTGGAACTGGATGATCTTCAAGGGCCCTTCCAACCCAAACCATTCTGTGATTCTATGATCCCTCCCCAGGGGACACTGCAGGATGCAGTGCTAAGGAGCAGGAGTCGGGGGCCTGCGAACAACCCTGAAGCTGTAAAGCCTGTGCAGGGCTATGCTACTACTTCAAAGTCATGCAACTGAGAAGTGTAGGGCACCGCCACAGTTGATTCATTGTCCTCCAATGAACAGAACAACCTGCAGAACAGGAGTTGATGAAACCACAGAAAGAACAAATCCAGTGGCACAGAAACATGTACTCCTGCGTATCACAAGGCAGAGTTCAGATCAGAGAGGCAGCTATGCAGCTTGATTCATCATGCAGCTGCAGAAAGACTGAGAGGCCATTAAGCAAATCAACCCCTCTCCCTCTTCACCCCCTCCCCGCTACAGAAGCGTGAACACACACAGGTTTTAGAAACTGAACACACAATCACGACGTGACTGTGTGACTTCATCTAAGTACGATATGATATAAGCACCCAACTTACCTCCACAATTAGAATATTCTGAAAGAAACAAAGAAAAAAGGAATACAATTACACAGTATCCACAAATTAAAAGAAACAAATGTTTATAAAAGTGAAGACAGACAGGTCTACATGCATAGGACCCGAGGAGCTTCCTGGTTTGTTTTTGTGCCCTGAAAAAGAGCCAGCCATAAGAGCAAGACCTGCAGTCAGGGGCTACGACTTTATTCAGCTCTGTCTACACTATCCTCCTTGTGCAAGAATGGATGTAACTTTGGAAAATAAAATTAGATGGAAGAAATCCAAATGGGATGAGCTTCACTTAATTCCAGTGTGCCTAGCTGTGTACTACAGTGTACCCTACAGTTCACTAAAATACTATTTCCAATGTTAGTATGAGACTACAGCAATAATACTCTGAAATAAATGTTCCTCCTCCTGCCCCCTGCCCCCCAGAGACCTCACAGTGAAGGATTACAGGCCAAGTTGTACCACCCATTCTCATAATGTGAAGTACCCTCTTCCTCTTCAAATCCTGCTGCTGCAATCAGCAGTGTTACTTGAAGAGAAGGGGAGCGGTCCAGTCAAGGGCAGTGATGTCAAGCTTTATGAGAGCACGATCGCATCGGCTGATCTTTTTGCTGAAATCATTCAACACAATATCTAAGGTGGCTTCTGTTCTTCTATTAAAAGCAGTAATGTCCTTATTAGAAGAAATAAAAATCTGTTTCTTAGTGGCCTCTATCATATGCACATTCAAAAGGATGGACTCTACAATCTTGCATTAAGATCTACTTTCTGAGGTGAAACCTGCAATAGCAAGAGGGAAGTTATTTCTCAAATACCTGTGTCCATCTATGCATACACCTTACACGCATGTGCACAAGGGGCTGTAGTGATAGGACAAGAGATAACAGGTTTAAATTGAAAGCGGGAAGGTTTAGATTAGTTATCAGGAAGAAGTTCTTCACAGAGAGGGTGGTGAGGCACTGGAACAGGTTGCCCAGAGAAGCTGTGGATGCCCCATCCCTGGATGTCTTCAAGGCCAGGCTGGATGAGGCTTTGAGCAACCTGGTCTAGTGGAGGGTGTCCCTGCCCATGGCACGGGGGTTGGAACTGGATGATCTTTAAGGTCCCTTCCAGCCCAAACCATTCTGTGATTATATGATTCTATGCAAGTTGTCACACAAAACCCTGAGCCAGTTTCATATCCATGCAACATTCACCAGACTAGATTACATTCCACTGCCTTTCTACCAGGCTGGTTGGCTATGGTACATACATAACATGGAGACTGTCTAACTGCCTTTTCCATCACAGAATCCCGAGGTTGAGAGTTCTGAGGAAGACTCAAAACACCAGGGAGAGAGAGTGTGTGAAGGGGGCGTGCTCATGAACAGCACACCTTTGACAGTTTCATTAGCTGGCATGTAAACATTTTTTTAATCTTCAAAACAGAAATTATAGATGAGCCATATTTATATTGGTACTGCAGTTCCTCCTAACAATCACAGTGCTTAGTAGGGAGACACAGCATGCTTCATGCATCAACCACTGCAGAAACACGTTACCACACACTGTATTATACCTGGGCGCTTCTGAAATGGCAAAACACTCGGTAAAGATGTGGAGAGAACTCCCCGGAGTAGTTCAGCAGATGTCAGCAATGGAGATATCATTCAGAAAGCCACTAATTTAGACTGAGCCCCGATGGAATGTGTACTAATCTTGGAGGGTGGCTCCTTTTGGTGTTTTCGTAACAGGTTTCACTGGTGGTTATGCTGCTTGGCACTCCTGACTTTCAACCTCTCAGCTGCTGACACAAACAACTCTGGATCTGAAAGACCTAGTCCTGTGGAGGTAGAAAGTCAAAGGCCTCTTAGCAACAGTCCAAAGATGCCCCTTCCTCTAGAAACTTCTTCCTTAAGTATGCCAGTCCCCTAGCTAGGATGAAGAGACCAAAATCATGTTCAGGAGAAGCTTATGACAGGTGTGCAGCTTATGACAGATTTTCTTGAAGGAAGCCATCTGCATCTAAAAAGGGTTTGGCTCTCACCTGGCTTCCTGGATGAAGTCATAACTAGGAAAAACGCTTCCAAAGACTAGCTCGGCACCTCCTGGGTCTGAGGCATAAGCAAATCACCTGATTCAGTCGGTGGAAGATTATGTGCAGGAGTAATGGTTAAACCATGCCCTGGGGAACTTGCAGGGCTGGTGATACGGAAATACCTGCGTGGGTATATGTACATATGCACATACATACATGATGCAGAGACAGAGCAGAAGAGTTGGCACGAAGAACCTCGCCAGAATTAAAGTCGGAAATTAACTCCTTCAGTACCAGCAAACAGTCCAGGACAACTGTGAGTGGCACCTGGTAGGAGAGGCTGACCCAACATCAGCCTCACATCCTGAGCCGTTCTGCCAGCTCTGTGCATCTCTTGCTGCTCTTCATACCGCTGACAAGAATCCTCTTGCCAGAGGAAAAGCATGGTTCTGGTGATAAGACCTACCCATCAGCTGTGGCATGAGATGAGACATACCAAAACTGGCATGGCAGAGGGCTGCCAAGCCCTGCACTAGCAGACTGTCAGGGTGCAGGAACGGCTGGTTGCTCCCTGAGCAAAGGGTAGCCGCGAGCTGAGCGCAGTGACACGGCCGGCAGTGCAGGGGCCTTGCCAGCCAGGGCCCAGCCCCAAAGTGCCCCAGCGAGAGGAGCAGGCAGACAGACCCAAGACTTGTTCCACCAAGAGTGCACATCATCAGGTGAGTTCATGGTGACGAGGCAGATCCAAGGTCAAGCCAGGATGTCAGGCTGGGACCAGTTTCATGAGAGTAACCATGATCTAATACAGCCCACTGAGCTCCAGGCAGGTCCACAGTGGTGAGACACGTCCGAGGTTAAATTGGGAACTCTGGCTGTGAGTTAGGGTCTGTAGCAACATACAGGCTGTAGCTGAGCTGAGGATGGGCACCCATACGGCATCACTCAGGCACAGACCAAAAGCCCATGGCTGAGCTGAACTGGGGCTCCTGTGCCCACGCGTGTGGGTAGACCCCCAGGTGGCGTAGGTCACGGCCATTAAGGACTGTTGGTGCACATGGTGCCATGACAGATTGAGAGAAAAGCATAGTCCTGGGATATTTTGTTGATAGACAAATATGTTTCTCTGCTACCATAGTTGCTTCAGCTATCCTATGATGAGCAGCAACAGGGATTCTCTTGCTTACATGCGAATGGAAATCATAAAATTAACAGAATGAGGGGACAGCAGCCTCCCTGGCCATGGAATTGGGATTAAACCAGTAGGGAGGGGCAGACCTTACTAATTAACCTATGAGAAAAAAAAATCATAGACATTAATAGAAAATGGGACTGAGGAGACCATGAAAGGTCAGCAAGATTATTCTGTTGGCCTGAAGAACCAACTTAAAAACTATTCCTCACAGTTACCTGTTTTTGAACATGGAGGGGACTTCAGACCTTTCCCAGGAAATGTGTCCCAGTGCCTCATTATCTAAGAGCAAACATACAGTCAGAAAACTTCTGTTGCCATTTGACTTGAACTTGTTTTGCAGAGGTCATAGGAAAAGCTTTATTTTCTTGTTTTTAACTTCTATATTCGAACACAGATGTACTTCAGAGGGCTGGATGTAGATGTAGAACAGAGGGCTGGAGCACCTCTCCTATGACAAAAGGCTGCAAGAACTGGGCTTGTTCAGCCTGGAGAAGAGGAGGCTCCGGGGAGACCTCATTGCAGCTTTCCAGTATCTGAAGGGGGCCTACAAGGGTGCTGGGAGAGGACTTTTTACAAGAGCCTGTAGTGATAGGACAAGGGGTAATGGGTACAAATTGAAAACAGGGAGGGTTAGATTAGATATCAGGAAGAAATTCTTCACAGAGAGGGTGGTGAGGCACTGGAACAGGTTGCCCAGAGATGTTGTGGATGCCCCATCCCTGGATGTCTTCAAGGCCAGGCTGGATGTGGCTTTGAGCAACCTGGGCTAGTGCAAGGTGTCCCTGCCCATGGCAGGGGGGTTGGAACTAGAAGGTCTTTAAGGTCCCTTCCAACCCTAACCATTCTATGATTCTGTGATTCTATGATTTCCTTGGTTTCCTCTTCTTCAGATTAAACAACCCCTATTTATTCAACATTTTCTCACAAGTTGTATTTTCTAGCTTTCTGATCATTCTTTTGCTCTACTCTGGAACCTGTCCAGTTGCTCAGAACCCTTCTCCAGTTCTGATGCCCCAAACCAGAAAGAAGCCTTTTTCAGTGTCAAGAAGAATAAAAGATCCTCTTTGTATGCTTTGCAAATAATCTTCCTTCCTAGATATTCCAGTGAAACAGTTCTCTTTTCTAAAGGTATGCTGTTGTCTCATGTGCAGCTTGTGATCTCCCTATCGTCTCCAATTCAGAACTGTTGCTCAGTCAGTCCTTCCTCATTTGCGCTTTTGCAAAAGATTGCTCCTGTATAAACACAGGAGTTAGTATTCCTCTTTACTGTCACTGCGTGTCATTCTTTGAACTAAGTTCTTAAAATAATTTCTTAAGATCATAGTACTATCTTGTAGTCTTTTTCCAGGTAGTATCACTAGCATTAAATGCTAATTCCATCTTCTAAATCACGAATTGAAAATTGTATAGTCCCTGGGGAACATGCTTTAATGCATCCAGTCTGACACTGAGGCATAATTAACTGTTTCTTGAGAACAGCTCTTCAACCAGTTAGACATCCGCCTAACAGAAATTCAATCTCGTCTACATTTCCTTATCACAAATGACTCATATGAAGGAAAGAAGATTAAGACAGATCCAGACATGCCTGAAGGGTTTGTCTGGCCACAAGAGTGATAGTCAACTGCACATGACTTCAGCTGAAGTGCAAGATCTCGTATTTATTGACTCACTTGAGAAGGAAGGATCCTTCCATTGGTGGACCCTGAAACTGTCTGACCAGCCTTCTGTTGTTCTTGCCTCTTCTCAGACTCAGAGTCCAACAGTTGCAAATGATACACACTGGGAGATTTGGTCCTT